GTGTGTGATTGTGTGTGTGTGTGTGTGTGTGTGTGTGTGTGTGTGTGTGTGTGTGTGTGGTACTGAGGAATGAATGCAAGGCCTATGCATTGAGCTATGTCTTCAACCCTTTAAGACGGTTCTTGCTATTTTGTTAACTCTCCTAGGCTGGGCTTTAAAAAATCTTCCTACCTCAGCCTGCCAGAATTCTGGGATTAAGGTGCTAACAGGCCTGGCTTAAACTGTACTGTTATAATAAGAAAACTATAAATCTACACTTAAAATTTTTTTAATTTAGATTTTCACAGAATTGACTTTATTGAATTTAATATTAGGCCATTTAAAAAAATAAAAGTCAAATAAAGAATTTTTTTTTACATTCTATAATATCACTGATTGAAGATATTTAGATTGAGCATTAAGAAATACCTTTAACATTAATTTAAAAGATCAGTTTTATAAGGTTCTTTAGTTGTTCAACTTTTAAAATAATGAGTCATGCAATTTAAATCATAATTTTAAAATTTTGTTTCATTTGTCAAAATAATATAATAGGTGTTCCAGACTCCCAAAGATGAGAATGACATTGTATGGTGCTTCTTTTTGCTTTTAGCTACAAGGAAGCTCAATTATGAATACAGTATTCAACTATGATAATTTTCTTAGCCAGCCATTATGTTTCCTATTTGGCCTTTTTCATTTTTGCTGACATGTATTTATATGTTTTACTGAAAGCAAATATAAATGACCGACTGGTTACCTAGAATGATGCTGTGTTTGCAGATTCTGGCTGAATGTGACAGAGGAAAACACAAAGAAGATAGGCTATCTAGATACTAAAAGGGATGAGGCAGTGGATCATCTTTCCCTAGATCTATGCCACCTGCTGAGCTGCTCAAAGTCTGTGCTTCATTAAGCATTTTCAAATTAATTATAAAAGCCAGTCTGTAAGAGGTGACACTTGAACTGACTTTTCAAATGAGAGTACGGCACTAAGAAAGGGTAAAGGCATTTCTGAGGCAGTGAAAAATAAAACAGACAAGAAATGCAGAAGAACATTTTTTACTTATGTGAGTATCTGAATGTTCATTAGGTTGGGTTACATATAGAATCTACAAGTAAAAGAGAAGAGAAATAAAGCCAGAGAGATAAATGAATAATTGTAGCTTCTGAGCAAGGAAGTGGCCTGTGAATGATGGATGGAAATCAATTTTTAGGACTGCCTTATCACTAGTACAGTAATATGTGATTTCAAGCAAAAATGCTAACAATCCTGGGTGAAAGACTATTGGGAAAGGATGTTTACACACTCCTCACTCAAGTCATCACTTCACAGACAGCTTATTAATTTTAAAAGAAAAGAATGTCTACATGACCTTTTGATGTACCTACAATCAAACTTAAATTCACCAATAAAAGGCTAAACTATTATCACATGCCACTTCAGAGGATGTAATTTTAAGCATAGATGTCTATATAAGCACACATTATATATATAATATTCATGCCAAAAATACCTGACACAAATATGATCTATAGAAAATAATCAGAAAAATCTAATTAAGGGATATTCAAAGCAACTAGCTTGAATAGTTTAATATATTTTACCTGGGAAGTTTTGTTCTAGATTAAGAAGGCTACAGAGATGTGCCAATAAATACAGCAAACAATCTTGCAAGGGATTCTAGATTGGGGTTAAAAAATTACAAAGTATATTACCAGAAAACAACTGAAGACATCTGAAAATGGACTATATATTATATAACCAGCAGTACTTATGAATGTTAAAGTTCTCAACTATGGCAACTGAATCATGATTATGTAGCATGATGCCCTTTTCCTGAAGGCTACTGCTGAAATATCTTACTGCAGGTACAACAACTAATTTTCAAGTTGTCTGGAAAATATTGTCTAAAAACGGGAAAATTATATGAATATGTATTTGGACATGGACATGTGTATGTACAGAGAAAGGATAAAAAGTATGTGGCAAAGGGCTGGAGCCGAGGGGCAGAGTGAGTGTCTGTCTAGCATGTTGCTGCCCCAGATGGTTGTGTCCCCAACACTGGGAAAAAAAAAGATAGCAAAACTTGGATAAACCTAAGTGATGATTGTACAAATTTTTAGTCTACTATCCTACAGTTTTCCTCAAGACTTAAAAAAAAAAAAAAAGGACTGGGATAATAATCTGGGTTAAATCCCAGAGACTACAGATACAGATATGTAAACTAAAAGCCAAGAAATCTGTTTTACATGCACATCCAACTAGAATGTAACGAGTGAGTAACTAAGGCTCACATAAGTTCATCTTCTAATCTAGTACTCTCAGAACTATCTTAAAGGCCCTCAAGCCTAATCACAGGATAAATGACAACTACAAATACCTCGGAGAAGGAATCTGAGTACCAGGTTAGATATTCTAAACCATCTTAGCAGCAAGGCTGGGTAAAGGTTAACTGTGGATAAGAAAAAGAGGGGACAAAATGAAAAATCAACAAGGAAGAACCATACAGACTTATTTATGAGAAGGAAAGTTGTTCACCAACAACTCTAAAACATACAAGCTGAACAGAACAAAAAAACAGTGCCAGCTATAATAAAAGAAAAACTGGAATAATATAAACATTTAGGAAACACACAGTTTGAGATATGTATATTTCAATTATAACATAGCAAAATGTAAGCTATACTAGAATATAAAATTAAGGAGATGAAGTACTTGCACAGTACTTGGCAATAAACATCCGTTAAACAATGAAATGCTTATGAGGCATTAATGTATAGATATATAGGAAATAGAAATATAAAATTAATAGGGTGGTATGAAGAGATATTTACTTTGTAAATCTGTAGAAAAGTAGACATAGTTAATTAAGGTTTCCACCTTCTTCCAGGCAAGAGTACAGAGACCTCCACTTGGGTCTTTGAGGATGAGCCCCCAACTGCCTTTCTGCATCTGCATCATCTCCTTTATGTGTGTGAGGGAACGTCTATGGGAGGACGGCTGACTATGGTCCGGTAGCACTGAGCACTATCAGAACTCCCGATTACCCCTAGCAGATTTAGTGAGCTAGAGCAGAAAGCCCAGGTGTGGTCCCAGGGCAGCATCGCAGTGTCATCAGGGAGCAGTCAGCAGCGCAGATTCCCAAGCTTCACTTCGAGTATCAGAACTACGCAGCTACCTGTGTCTCTAGGAGCCTTCCAGGTGATGGTAGCACACACGAAAGAACAAAATAATTTAAAGGTACTAAAGACTTTTTTGATAAACTACCTACCTTAGAGTCTAAATCATTCTTTCTGAGATGCAGCTGAAAATTACAGATCTAATCACACAAAGTGATATTTGTAATGAAATTTACATATCAATATAGTCACACTTCATCATCCAGAAATCATACACAAAATCAGCCTACAATAAACATATTTTAATAAATAAAATGTACATATAAAAAAGATGCTACTAAGCTATTAAAGAACAATGAAATCATCATTGGTGAAAACATGGGTACAATTAAAGATCAATCAGGATGTTAAATGACATAAACAAAAGAAAAGACAGTTTTGGGCTTATACTCAAAACTCCACATGATCTCACTTATACATGAATCTAGTATATGCGCTGCCGAAGTGAGCACACCTATACATGAATCTAAATGGTGGTTACCAGAGGCCAAGGAGAGTAGAGGACAGAGGACAGTTGATCAATGGATACTAAATTACAGTTTGGAGGAAGAAGTTTGGTGTATTATTGCACAGTAGGGTAATTATAAATATCAATTATTTACTATATATTTTTAAAAGAGAGCAGAAAGAGTATTGAAAGATGTAACTACAAAAAACTGATAAATGTGTGAAGAAACAGGTATGTTTAATCTGCTAAAATTACATAAAGTATACATGTACTGTTTATATCTCCATTAATTTTATATGCTGGTTTAAAAATAAATTTAACCTTAAAGTTTTTTGTTTTGTTTTATTGTTTATGTTTTCTGAGACAGGGTCTTACTACGCAGTCTATCGTGAGCCTTGCACTATGTAGACCAGGCTGGCCTCAAACTCATGCGATCCTCCAGCCTCAGCCTCTTGAGTGCTGGGATTATAGGTGTGTGCCCCACCATACCTGGATAAAATATTTTAAAGCTTCCTTTAAAACTTTAAAACTTACTTTAACGTTTCAGCAAGAAAGAAGCTTTGCTGTACATCATCATGTGTAGGAGTAGAGGAATATACATCTTTGACCCCAGAAAACCCACCACTGACTCGGCAATACTTTTCAATGGCCTGTAAAAGAGATCAGACAAAACAATCAATTCCATGGATTTCAAGTCTTGAAGGACAATAATCACAATCAAAAGTTCATAGATATTTGTATGAAAATTTGACTAAAGAATATAGTAATTATTCTTTAATTAACAATAGATTAAGCCTAAGGATAATACTATATCAAATGAAAATACAGATATTCTTCATTTAATGACAAAGCTTTGGTCATAGGTCCTAGGTCATTAAATTAATTGTTCTCTAAATTGTATATAGTATGTACAATATTCAGAACAAAGACACGGTCAAATGAAACTGCAATGTGATGACTTTGCTTTTATTTGCAGTATTGTAATGTATAAGAGAACATAAAACTGCAGTACTGTACTGTATAGTACAATCAGTGAAAACTACAGTAACTGTATAAACAAGGCATACTGTACAAAAAAGATAGGATCTATAAACAAGATGTACAGAACTGTACCAAAAAAGGTCATAAATCTGAGTGGTGAGTCATAAGTCTGAACAGTTGTTAAACAAGTAGATCATTAAATTAGGAATATCTGTACTCTTTCTGAAAAGTGAACTTACACTAGAGTCTCTCTTGCTAATAAAACTCTTTCATCTATAATAGCTGATGGTTTCCTAACACAGGTGTCTTTTTAGATTATTCTTTCTGAACTAGGTACCTCTCTGGCACAATAAAACCTTACTAATCCTGACAAATCAAGACAGAGGTCTGCTTGAGTTAAAAATCTGATTTTATCATTTACAAAGACAAGCAATAATCTTCAGCAAACAAAAAAACATTACTTAGGAGCTCTCTGTTGTACAGTAATGAGAGATAATATTTACTGCAAACATACTCTACACCAGATTTTGTATTACCATAATCCTATGAGTTAGGCATCACAGGTAGTACCAAATAGCAAGAAAAGTCCATCTAACTATCTGCTACAATAATTACAAGTGAAGAGTTAACAATTCTGACATACTTACTGTGCTGAAAGCTATTTTAAGTGCTTTACATGCACTAAAATTTACATTTTACAGCCATCCCAGGAGGTTAATAACTTCACTTCTCAGATGGAAAAATTGAGCAGAGTAATTTGCTCCACCTTATAAACTACTGTGCTCTACTGCTTGAATGGGAGTTAAAATTTTAAATCTATTTTTCCTGTTTTATCTTTGGGTAAGCTAAATAAACTATATGGAGTTGAATGAAATCTAGTCACACTCTTAAACTCAAAGCAAACAAATATTCTGCTTATCATTAAAATTAAACCATTCATGAAAAGTTGAAAGCATTTCTGGTTCTTTCTCTATTCTCCCTAACCTTGAGACATGGCCCAAGAAAGGGATGATTATTTAACTAAACATTGCTGCCATGATTTACTGTTTCTAGTTTTGCTATGTTCCTTTCTCTTCTGATCTTCCTTCCTAATAAAAAGCTAATAAACACTGAAATGTGCTTAATCAAATTGTTTATTTTACAGGTAGGCTTTAAAGTGTTCTCAAAGAGTTTGACACTTTTATGTTTCTCAGCATATCAAATATATTGTGAATGCAAAAGTTTTAAGTAGTGTTCTTCAACAATGATGTCTTCACCACGACATGAATCATCAGAACAGAGAATGTAGCAGACAGCCAGCCAATCTTTTAAGTCCTTTTGAGTCATTTCTTGAGGGCAAGTTTCTACACTTAGTATATTCAAGTGTGGATGTGTACATATGTAGATGGAATAGCTAAGGCTACAGAAGAGATAGATGATACTTCACAACTGTGCCTCGCCCTCCCTCCCCTCTACTTTCTTCAAGCCCAACAGAGAGGCCAATGGTGACTCACAAACAAACTGTGAGAAGATGTGAGGCTTCTCATGTCTTACTTTCCAAATGTGAATTTAGCACATAATTATTTCAGTACGTGTTCATCAGCTTATACTTTGAGTTTGTATGTGTCTATATAGCTGTAAAAACAATATTCTAACTCCCATAATTAAAATTTAGACTGATATGGGCTAAAGTTTGGGCTTATCAAACTTCTTAACAAGTAAGAGTAGGGGTGTATATCAGGGAAGTATACAGGAGAAAAGAACCTTAAGAAAGGCATTAATTGTCTTACAGTGTTTTGCAATGACAAGACATGCGTCTACTATTACTATCAAGAACACCCATCCCACAAGATTCAGATATATCTCCCTGATTCCTTTAAATAAAAACCATTAAATATTAGGGTACATTCAAGTCAGAGACTCATTAGGGCTGAGGATTTAGATCAGTGACGCCACACCTGCCTCGCAAGTGCAAGGTCCTGAGTTTAATCCCTGATACCAAAAATTAAGAGAGAGAGAGAGAGAGAGAGAGAGAGAGAGAGAGACTCATTAGAGGACTACTTACCTATCTATTTCTTTTACATAAATCACTTGGTTTATGTAAACATTAGCAGGCCACTGCTAAGAGCAGATGCATGCATGTTTCCTATTGCCAAACCACTGTGGCAACAGTTTGGCTGTCTCTAATTGCAGCAGGACCTTCCTGCAGAATTTCACTAGCAGCTATTTTCTCAACTTTAACCTGAGGAGGCCAAAGAAAAGCAGCATCAAAAGTGCTGCATCTGTTCCTATTCTGTGTAACCACCTTGCTTCTATTAATACTCTCCTGTAGTTAAAAGTCCACATGAGAGTTAACCTACATCTGAATGACAAGACTCACAAGCGTGCTTACTTTAAGATATCACATTAATCCTAGATTACTGAGGTAGTCTCCAAAACTCATCAATCTGTGGACTATGAACAGATCCTTTTGCTTTGCCACTTCCCACTCAACAAAGCCTGCACTAATTCCTTCCCCTTTGAAAAACTTCTAGCATTTCTGTAACAGATTGTCAAAGGAGGAAATGGAAAGAAAAGAAAAGATCTAAAGGGCTCTGAGATAAGCAAAGGTCTTTCTACCACCACTTTTTATAGGAAAACACTTGGGCAGTAACTGATAAAAGTTACTGAAGGACGTGTAACAGTAAAGCACAGTGTGCATGTGTGTACGCTGGCTTATTCCTGAACAACTTAATAAAGCAAGTATCCTTGACTCGCAGGAAAGGCTGTCCTCGTAATGGATCCAAGTTTCCCTGTGAAACATCTCCTTTATATGAATTGGTGCATGTCTTGCCCTAAAACACATTTTTGCACATCCTTATCTGGACAATTTATTTTACCAGTGATATCTTTAATCACTGTTAAGTATAAATCACTGTAAACTTAAAAGACTGAAAGCATAAGTTAAACAATTTGAATATGAATATTAATGAGTACTAGTACAATTTATTGTAACTAGTATATCTGAGGAAATAAAATATTCCCTAGGAATAAGCTATATCTTCAAGGAAGACTAACATTTTTTTCCTCTGTCACGGAATTCCTCAAAAGTCCAATTATTGTAAGAGTAAACAGCTTGCTTCCTCTACTTAGTAATGCTTAAAATTCCTAATTCCAAATATGTGTACCTTCTGTCTTTCATTCCACAACAACCTTAGTTTTCTGATTCTTCTCACAGTGATCTGCTAAGGAGTTACTCAGAACACAAGGTGACATGAACAGGGGGAATCTACCCAGGGTAATTTCTTTCTCCAGTGGTTAGGTGTTAAGAAAACAGTTTAGAAGCCAGGCATGAGGATGCGTGCTTATAATCCTAGGACTTTGAGAGGCCAAAGAAGGAGGACCCTGAGTTCAAGTCCAGCCTGGGCAATTTAGGAACTTTATGAGATCCTGTCTCAAAATTTAAAAAGGGCTGGGGATGCAGCTCCTGCAAAGGCACTAGATTCAATCCCAAGTAATACTAAGTAAAATAGTAGTAGTTAAACTACTTCTTTTATATATAACTGTACTAAAAATTGCCTTTTAAGAAACTATAGATGTTCAGTAACAGTGAGTGACTATTACTAGAAAGTATTTCTAAATACAGAACAAAACAGGATTCAAGGTTCATTTCTATTGCTCAAGAAACTTAAAGTGACTAAGATTCTTCATCAGAGAAATGAAACCTGCCTTAGAGTCTCTGAAAATGAAGTAACATGGATGAAGACACATGGCACTACAGGAGGGCTTGATTTAATATTCTTGCAGATGAAATGAAATATTGTCTTATTTACCAGTGCTGCTTCCCAGCCCCACTGCCTGTATCTGGGATCATGAGTGAATCGCCACAGGTACCAATAGGTTTCAATTACTTCTGGACGGAGGATGTAATACTTTTCAGCCTGCCGGACAGCCACGGCTTCCACTGCACCATCAAACTTAAATGACTCAGGACCTAGTTTTAATGCTGCAACATGACAGAAGAAATAAATGAACAAAATAAATCCCCTGTATTTGTTTGCAAAAGCTAACTCTCCTGAAAGAATGGAGCATTAAGTAACTTTTACTGTTTTATTTTTATTGTCACTGTTCTACAAAATGAGTCAATTTAAAATATCATCTCAGCAATGCCATTATGAAATGTGAATGTTAGAATAATAAAGGAATCCTTTTATACCTTCAGCATGCTATGAATTTCTTAGGAATCTTTTAACACTTTAACCTGTAAGCATCCAACATAACACATAGCATATAATGAGTTCAGATTTAATGGAATAAATGATTAATTATAACAATTATATTTTAGTATGTCTGTTACATTAAATTCTATTGTTTTAGATCTATTATTTGATATGTGGTTGAAAGCTATATAAAACAACAAGCATAACTGTCATGGTCAGTACTATAAATACTATCCATTTTGGTCTTCAATGTTTTACTAACTTTAGCTAAGTTTTTATGTATATAACTGATACTTCATACTGTCAACATGACAATTTAGTTCCCATTAGTAATGCAGATCACTGATTTTACCTATACTGGATACCAACATTGAACTACCTAAAAGAACTTTGCCTTAGTTACTTTAAAGAAATGTAACTAGAGCCGGGGGATTTAGCTCAGTGGTTCTGCTGCCTGCCTTGCAAGCGCAAGGACCGGAGTTCCATCCCTGGTACCACAAATAAAATAAAATAAAATAAAGAAATGTAACTAATAATTTCGTTAATAAGAAAACTGAAGAGTCAATTTCATCAGAAGTTCAATTCCTTACTGTACACAAATAACTTGACAGATTTATGAATCTATGAATTTATGAAGAGACTTTTAAGTTAATCATAAGAACAAGTTAACCCTACAACAGAAATTTAGTTATTTCATAAAAGGAACAATACAACTTTTGAAAACATGCATAAGTTACCATCACTTAAGATTTTCAGGGAACTCACTACTCCCTGTATAATATAGAAACAGCTATTTGTAAAGACCAAGAAAACCACGGACAGTCTAGTCCAGTGTTTCTTTTTTCATTACTGTATCTCAAAATGAGTCCTTTAGGTTTTTTGCCTTCTTCATCTATGAAATTCTGGTAACAAATATACATAGAATATCTATTTGACTCCACACATGAAGAACAGAATTTTTTTTTTACTTCCCAGGAATCAACTTTTGTCACCATTAAGAACAATTCCATTTTCCAGGTAAACATAACTAAAATTCAGAAAAGATCATCTATTTTCTCAAAGCAAAGTCAAAAGATCTTTCTAGTGAAAGACACAAATAACTCTAAAAGTTATTAGTGAACTGAGTAAATGACAAAATACCAATTCACTAACTAAGCTTTGTTGTCATTTGGTTATTCTTAATTTTCATGGCAAGACCATGTAACCCAAGCCACTCTATTCTGTGTTCTTTTAAGTATAAAAGCTGATATGAATGGCTAAAACAATTATTTTATTAAAGTAAGGCTACTCTATGTATCTCCAAATATTCTATCTCTTGTCTTCAAAACAGTTACTTCTAAATTATTAAGACAAAAAAAGCCAGCAGAGCTCAGAACTTCTGAGATGATGCAGGAGATGGGTGTAGTGGTGCAGGCCAGTAATCCCCACTCTAGGAGGCTGAATCAGAAGGGTCACAAATTGGAGTTCAGCCTGGGCAAATTAAGAGTCTGCCTTGAAATAAATTTTTTTTTACATAAAGTGAGGGATATAGCTCAGTGAGAAGGTCCTGGTTTTAATCAACCCCCAGTACTTAAGAAAGGAGAGGAGGAAGGAAGGGGGGGTACGCATGGATTCACAAATATGTTTCTGAAATTAAATTTCTTTAAAAACTGATTTACTGTAGTCCAGGTTCTGAGTTCACTTCCTGGTAAAGGGGGGTAGTGGGGTGGTGGTGGTGATTTGCCATGACAGTGTAAACTATTTTGAAGTGAAAAGTACCTACATATTTTCTTAATCCCTGGTCACATTCTACAAGTAGAGGTTATTTATACTAAGTCACTAGCCTTATTAACATTCTTACCAGTCCTGTCATATGACTCGTGACATGTTCGCGCAATCTCTGCCCCTAGCTCTAAATAATGACCAGCTTTATCCTTTCTGGAACCATCTGCTCCTAGTGCAAACATTCCCCCAGCGAAACAGGCCAAATGCCCCATCTTCTTTTCCAAGTGCCCATTCTTCCATTCTCCAATAAAGACAAGACCACCTCGGGACTTCTTAATAAGATGTTTTTCTATCGCCTACAAGAAAAAGTGAAAATTTTAGAAGCAACTTGTAAGTGTTCAAACATGTATTTCTAGCTGTCACAAAAGCTGGGTAATATCCTATAAAATACTAACTTTTTCAAACTTTGAGACGTAATTTACAATAAGAAAGTTTTGGAATCAGTGATCTAATTGTTTATGGCCAAAAAATATATCCCAACCACTGCTCTGCTGGGAAAGGAGTGTTGGCCTCAAGTATCATTCTACATAGCATCACCCATTATAGCCTCTTCCCCTTGAAATTTATAATAATCAGTCAACTAAGATTATGACCAGAAGTTGTAAGACAAAGTTTTATTAATTCACTTTCTATTTCACACAACAAAACCTAACTAGGAAGAATAGCCAAGTCAATAAGAAAATATGATTTTCAATAATTAGTTTAAATGGTTCTTCATTTTCCATGTCATTATCATGGCAAACTAATTTTAAAAAGCACCATTCGGTTAGCCACTTTATACATTATAAAGTTTTCAAAACTAGTTGAAAGTTACCTGTTCTTTAACTCTTTAGTCCTTTAGTTATCAAATGTACATATTTCCTTTGGATGCTCTTGCATGATTTTTCCTAATGACTTTTTTTGAATCATAAACATTTCTAAGTTTAAATTTTAACAATAAAGAATGAACCTTCAAAATTTTCAAAATTTAAGACTTCATAAAAATTTTTAGAAATCACAGTGAAACTGACATTTTTTATTATAATTTTGTTCAATTTATTAGTCAACAAAATCATTCCAAATATTTACTGAGTAATATGTACAAAGCACTGTGTGCCACAAAGTCTAATTTTCATAAATTTTTAGAAATAAACAGTATTTTTAAAAAATGTAATTAGGACTCTGAAAAAGTAAGTATATAAAAGGGTAATAAATGATTTAATTAAAAAACCTGTAATGGTGAAAACTGATTGCTAACTATATTAGAATGGCACTGTTATACAAAATACACCAAAGAAATAATTAAAATCAGTAAGGAGATATGGGTTTATAATGAATCAGGGAAGCTAAAACTTACTAAATGGTTAACATGTTTTTCTCTTTTACAGGTTTTGCCTAGAAATCTCCCATATAAACTCCTCCTAGAATGACTATCATTCTAAATTGTCACAAAACTCTAATATGAGATTATATAAATATGAAATAATACAAATCAGAGGTTAAGAGAGCAAGGTCTGCAGCCAGACACTTCAGTTCCTGGACCCATCATTCACCAGCTAAGTGACCTGCAACCCATGGCTGAACCTCACTGCACCTTACGGTTCTCATGTGTGAGGTGGGGACAACAATTACTTGCTCTCACACGTGTAAAAAGGTTTGGAACCGAGTGTGGGACATGGGAGTGCTACTTAAGTATGTTGCCATTATTATGTACTCACAAGGTTCTCAACACGTAGGTTCAAGTGATCATTGAAAGACAAAATATTTGTGGAAATGTATATAAAGTCAGAAGTTTTTCCAAAATACACTTTTATAAATATATTAACACTAAACTCTTCCTTCAACAATCTCTTTAAAAAATTTCACAAATAAAAGAAAATGTAACAGAGATTATCTATTAAAATAGATACAAATTCTAGAGTGAAGGTATCTAATAAAACCCTTACATATAGTATGTATTTCCTGAATGAATACAATAAAATTTGTCTAGCCATTGTCAAATAAGTATATATTCAATATATTAAGTAGAAAACATTCTGAAAGTAATCACCTCAATTGCATCATCATACATCCTTCTTGCCTCATGGTCTGTTTTATCTGACATCAACCACGCTTTCAGTAAGTATTCATAAAAACTGTCTCCCAGACCACCAACTGATGTGTGATCTGAAACAAAAGAGAAGAAAGAACGACACAGATGGAGGAAAGAAAAGATAGAACAAAATTAATAAAACAATATTTTTCAGTTATAATGACTGTCACAGGTCAATAATTTTTAAATTATATTGACATCCCAATTTCCAAAATATTTCAAATTTAGTCCAATAAGAGAACACCACAACCACTGTCTCTACATACGAACCCAATGTTCTAGAAAATCTCTTTCCTCTAGATGTGAAATTTTATATTTAGTATTCTTTTTCTTGAATCACAGTTTGTACAATGTCAAACACCCAGATTTTTACACAACTGAAAATACCTTTTATATTTTAATGGCATTAGATATATAAGCTATGATTAAATACAAGAGGTACACTTAAATCTGATGTTAATCAAAAAGGGCTCACACATTTTTCTAGATGATGGCTAATTGTGATTCCTGTGCTATACACAGTAAGTCAAAATAAATCTTTTTTTTTTAAAAAGCTCAAGATTTTAATGTCATCTTGCATAATATAAGTCTATTGACTCATTATTATTATTATTTATAGAATTATTATATGTATTTGTCCTATGTACATCCTTATTCCATGTCACACATACTTTTAATCCTATTCAATTTAGCATTAGTTCCCATGGCAACCACACTTTCATCCCTTTCTAGAAAACTCTACTCTACATTCTTGAACTATTTCTTAAAATTCACATCCTCCTTGCATGTAAAAAAAAAAAAACATGTTTCTATAACCTTTAATCACTCATAATACTATTACTAATTTTTCAAATTGTAAGGAAAGAACAGGACTATTCAGTGATTTATGAGAAAAATCGCTACCTATTAAGGGAAATGCATGTCAATGTTTATACTGTGAGCTAACAAAATAAAGTCATGAATGATTAACAGTTTATAAGTAAACCAGGAGAAAACAGAACTTGATTCTTCTAGAAATGATCATAAGCAAAATACAAAATGATAGCACTATAAAAGTTTATGATTTTATATGATAAAAGATAAGATGGATGAGAAGGTATTTGCAACACACATAGCAGGAAAAAGACTAGTGCTTTAAACAAAGACCTCTGAAAAAGCAACGTGAAAAAGGAAATACGAAATGAAGAAAAAAATGAAACAAATCTAAATTATTTCTGTGGTACTAGGAAATTAAACCCAGGACCTTCACATTGAACTACAACTCCACAGTCTTTAGGCATACACCACCACACCTTGTTTCAATACTTAACGTAAGAATGGATGCTCAATTCTAGAAGTGATCAAAGAAAAGCAACTTTTAAAAAATGGGATTCAAGGGCACCTGCCCCAAGTTCGATCCCTGGTACCAAAAAGAGAGATTCCATTACTGTCTATCAGATCTGCAAACATTTTTAAAAGTTGATAACATCTACTGCTGAGAAAAATTTGGTACACAGTTGCTTGAACTGAAGAGTAAATTTGTACCAGCTAACAAAATTTAACCTAGGAATCCTAGTTCTGAAATTATCCTGTAATAATACAAAAAACACAAATATAGACACTTTTCAAAAGCTTATCATACAGTTGTTTGCATTAGCAAACCATAACCTGAAATGCCTAGGGAAGCTGTAAATCTATTACAATATAAACATACTATACAGGACTATGAGATCAATACCTTCAAGGCGATCAGTAATCTACCATTAAAGGGTATGTATTTATATGCTGTTGGGTGGGAAAGGGAGGACGTTTAAGAATAATGTAGTTTGATCCTACTAAACTTGTGTGTTTAAAGAATATTACTGTACATTTACGAAGGACCTCAAAAGGCAACTGCTAATAGTAAGGAGTCCGTTAAATTTTAACTTTAAATGTATTACCTGAATACAGTTAATTTTATGTAATTAAAAAATCATCTTTTGTTGTTGCAAGCAGTAAATGGGAGAAAAAGACTATCATTTATCTTAAGCAATATGTCTGCTAATAGTTCAATAATTCAAGTGTACCTTAAACAGCCTACATCTCACATCCTTCTCATTGTTTTCTGTAATAAGTATACATGTCAATGAATTTTTACATATGTATACACTATAAGACAACTTTCAGGATAAAAATACTGAACATTTCCCTCATCCTAAAAGTTCACCTCATGAGGACTCAACATTCAATTCCCAAAGCGAATGCTTTTTCTGAGCTCTATCATCTTACAACTATTTTGCGAGGTTTCGAAGTTCACAAATAATGGCCATTTATTTTCAACTAAGACTTGCTAACTTACCGCTGTTCTTTGTTTCCTGCCGAAGAATGCAGAGGAAGGCGTTCTCTGCTTTATATAGGTTTCTCAGTCTCTAACAGTAAGTGGTTGGGTTTTGCAACAGATAGTTGAGAGAGCAGAAGACAGGGCTACACCATCCCTTATTTTAAATTTCACACTACACAAGGAATCAATGATTAAATTTCAAGTAGCTTTCAATTTTCAATACATCTATATAAGAATTTTATAGTGATAGCTAAGTATGCTGACAGTTAAGGGATAAATTACACTTAGATACTAAATTAGTTATAACAGATAAAACATTTTATAATCATTAAAGCTAATACATACTTATAAAATAACTTAAAATTGCAGAAGAGACTAGAATAGACAAGGAAAGGCCTTCATATTCAATCGGCTTTTGGGAGACATAAAGGTTAGAGGTGTCTTTTGGGCACATTATTTGGTAATGTACAAAAATAGGGATTTTATATTTTGTGAGAAACTATTTTAAAACAATTATAATAAAAATTCCCATTAATATTGCACCTTCAATTCTGTGGTTACATAAAAACACTTTGACTCATTACCATCTTATCCACTGCCTGGTCTTTTCTTAGGCTTTATCAACTATTTAAAATCACGCTATACTTTACTTGCCCTTGTATTTTAACCAGGAGAGCTCCAGTCATACCTCGTGGTAAATCCAAGAGACAAGAGGTAGTGGGTAAGTACTTCAAGTACAGTTTATGGTTACATGTAACAACTTTGAATAAATACTTGTTTTTAGTTCTATTTTTATGTATTGAATAACTTGTACCTATTATTTATGAATCCAAAATCCCTGGTTTCTATCAGATGCTTTTTCCATAGTCCCTTTGTAGCTAATGCCAGCCACTTTGCTCTGTATAAATTTGTTGAAGTATCTTGTCCACTGTGACCTCACCCTTGCTTCGAGACGAGAATGAATTCTTTTGTATGTTGGATACGTGCAAAGTGCTCAGAAAAAGAGGCAGCTCTGATTCTAGTACAAAACAGATCCAAATTTTGAACTGATAAGCTATATTGAAGGTAATAAATCTACCAGGTAAGCAAGAGTCAAATATAGGTAGTGCAAAGAAAAATAGAGCGTGCAGTTCAGACTCTAAATGAACTTGTGAATTAGAATTTAAATGAATATGAGAAAAACTAAAATCATAAAAGAAAGGCTCAGAAAGTCAACTATATAAATATAATTCAATAAATCAAGGAAAAGCAAATAATGGAGCAACCTTCTGAAAAGAACTTTAGAACAAGTATATTTAAAAAGCCTCTACTGAACTTTGGAATCGTAAGTGCCCCCCGAAGGTTGTTAAAGATTTGCTCTCCAGAGTAGTACTGGAAGAGGTGGAACCTTTGAGAAATAAGGCCTAGCGGGAGGTTTTAGGTCAATGCAGGCATGGCCTCTATTGGGAATGTAAGACCCTGGTCTCTTCCTCTCTTTCTCTTCACATCAGGCCATGAAGTAAAAATGCTTTCCCTACCATGTGTTCCCACTACAACGTACTGTTCCAAAGCAACATGTCATGTACTAAAACCTCCAAAACTATGGTAAACTAAGTAAGCTGATCATCTCATGTATTTATAACAGTAATAGAAAGCTAACATAGTGTCTTAAAAGAAATAGTAAATCTTAAAGTAAAACATAAAATTTAGAGTTAAAAAAATTGCAAGGAAGATTTTATATCTACTTTACAATCAGAAAAGGTGTCCGAATGAATCTTGTTTAATATGCTTGAAAGTCTGAATTATCTTAAAAACAATTAGAATCTGTTAAATATAAACAATTTGATGGAAGACACCCCTATTATCAGCTTAAGTTTCTACACTTACAACACCTAGCACAATTCTTATTTACGGTAAAGTGCATTCATTAGTAATTATAAAATGAAAGCCTGAATTTCCATTTCTCAAGTAGAAATAAAATTTCACTTGTCTTATAACTCATCTTTAAAGCATTTTTAATTTTTTAATCAACTGGACCATATTTTATTAAATGATATTAATTCAATTTTTATAGTTTCTTACTCTTTTTCAGTTTAGGGAAACAATAGATGAGACAAAAATAGTCAGATGCACAATTCCATTCCTCTTCTCTCTAAAAAATCTGAACTTACTATTACATCTTTCTCATAATCTACTGTTCCTTACTCTCCCATGTGCTGTCTTCACCCTTTACTACTAACCAAACTAAATGGTTGTCTGCAACTCAATAGTCATTTCTAAGTTTTCAGCAAACATTGTAAGTGTGGATATAAAATGATTAGATCATGAAAGAAATGTGATGGAGGTTCAATAATAAAAGGTGCTACTTAACCGGGGACTACATTAACCTAGGGGAGCAAGAAATGGAATAGGTCTGAGTCATGAAGAAATCAGAAACAATAGGATTGGTATCTGGTCAGACTGGTTTCTGGACACACTCAGGGCCATGTAGAATTTGGTGAAATAAGAAATTAAGAGGAAGAGATAAAACTGAAACTGACAACACTAAGCTTGATTTTGTACATATGAAGTACCTACCAAATATTCAGGCTCAAATATCCTGCACCTGTAGGATGTTATTTTAGGGCCAAGAGAGATCAGTAATTAAATACTGATTTACATGGAGGGGGTAATTTCTTTTTCGTAAATGGACACATAACATAGTCTGTTAAGAATTCATGTTTTTTGTTGTGAACAACCCTGATAATATATGTTTAAACACCGTTTAAAATGTCAAAACCATTCCATGATAGTGGG